CAACATCAGGTATTCTTTCTGTCAGTAAAAGTATACTTTGGACGAGTCCATCTTATGTAAAAAGGAGAGAGCCTCACAATACTTTTTAACTGCCTTTAGTTGATCTTTTTTCTGTCGTCAGAAATATATCTTTTTCTTCAGTGGGTTTTTGGTTATAACCTCTTGGTTCTGCTATTCTGAATTCAAAAATAGCCTGAAGAATATTGATATCCATCAAGTTGTTTTTCCCTAGACACTCCAATGCTGCCCTGGCTCCAGTAAACGGTGTTCCTCTACGACACGACAGATACACACATACACTACCTCTACTTCTACTCCTGTAATATTGTCCCTACATCCTGTGTGGCTTGAGTTGGTGCTTGACGAAATAAATTCACCCTTTGCAGTGAGTTGCAGTGTCTTCAGGCCATTACCCAAAGATCGTACCATCTCCATTTATCGCTGAAAGGCTATCTTTTCGTCAGGTGAAACCTTTTCTTGTAATAACTAAATAATAATAAATGGCACAACACGTGGTGTCTGTATTGACCAAATTTAATTAACTCCAACGGGATAATGTTATCGACCACTCGGAGTGGTAACAATGAGAGAAGACATCCCTCTCTAGATTTTTTTTTTTTTTAGGTCTTCTGCTTTCTCCTAAGTCAAAAATATCACTTAAGTATCCTGGAGGGTGGAACTCCTTATTTTTTTTTTGTTGTTTTTTGGTTTTTTTGGGGGGTTTTTTTAATCAGAAAATCTTACCATCTAGCTCGTTGCTGGTTAGTCGATTACTGCACCCCCCCGCCCAAAAGACTTCGCCACAATCTTTTTATCTCCCTTTCTTTCTTGTGGAACTTATAACTGTCTCCTGAATCTGTTAGTTACATGGTATTTGGGAAATACTGTTTATTTCGAACAACTTTGATGACTTTTTATTAGTTAATCGATTTTATCTTTACATCGTTAACCATAAATTACTCTATTCTACATCAACAAGGTTATACTACTACTATTACTACTACTACTACTACTACTACTACTAATAATAATAATAATAGTAATAATAATAATAATAATAATAATAATAATAACATATTTTTAAAAAGATCCAATCTGGTTACAAATGAATAATTTCAATGAATGAAAGCAATCTGACTTCGAATAATGTAAACAATTATAAACCTATGAACTGAGTGGAGTAGCGTATATTAGAATAACTAAAACTGTGAAGTAACCGATAATACCACGGCATAAAACAAGAGTTAAATAGAAAACGTTTTATAAGAAATAGTAAACAGTTTTTGATTTTCTTTCCTTTCTTTTTTTTTTTTTTTTTTTTTGCGTTTGCTTCCAGTTCATTCGACATGTTTCTGCATATTTTTTTTTAATGTTACTTTTTTTTTTTTTAAACCTTTACGCAAAGGAATTAAAAGACAAAATTCTCCTTAGCAAAAAACACCAGAAAATATGAAAGAAAATGTTCAGTGAGAGAGAGAGAGAGAGAGAGAGAGAGAGAGAGAGAGAGAGAGAGAGAGAACGCACACTACGTGCATAAACACACAATCGTAATGAAACGGATGAAGGAAAACAATCAATTGCAGAAAGATTCAAACAAGCAATGAAACAAAGATACAAACAAGCAATGAAACAAAGATACAAACAAGCAATGAAACAAAGCTATAAAAAAAGCAATTTATGAAAGGATAAAATATTGACACAAAGACAGAGGAAATAATAATCTTTAAAGAAAAGAAAAATAAACGAAAAGAGAGGCAAAAATACAGCGAAGCGATTCATTGCCTTCCTTTATCGACATAGGAATTTTTTAAGAACAATAGGTCCCCCGCCCCCCAAGTACTATCAGTCAGTTATGTGCCATACGTGATACACGCTTACGCGATCATGTATCTTTCGATACATGACTGAAAAGACACATTTTTTTTCCGCAGTTTTTCTGCAATGGACCAGTTGTCATCCAAGGCTATAGATCCCGGTCTGTGCTGCTATTTACCCATAGCTGGGGTGAGAAGAAGAGGATTCATACCTTTCCCAAGGGTATTAGCACGTAAATGAATGTAATGGATTTGACTGGAATTCGAACCCGGCTCTCAAATTCCTCAGTCCGAGCCACTATAACAAAAAAGGTTTTTTCTATGATGCTGTCTACATTTTAACGCTTTTCTCGTCACTTTTCACGTTGTATATCTATTTCTCTCTCTCTCTCTCTCTCTCTCTCTCTCTCTCTTTCTCTCTCTCTCTTTCTGTTTCAGTCTCTTTCTATCACTTTCACCATCTTTCTCTCTCTCTCTCCCCCCCTATCTCTCAGTCGCTTTCTCTCACTGGTTCCCCCTCTCTCTTTCTCTCAGTATTTCTCTCTGTCTCTTTCTCGGACTATTTCACTTACTCTCTCTATTTCTCCTCCACTCTCTTTCTCTCTCATCGCCTTTCTCACTCTCTTTCTCTCGCTATTTCTATCTTTCTTTATCTCAAGCTTTCCCAGACGTTTTCTCTCTCTTTCTCTCTCGGTCTCTCTAGATTTATTTCACTGCTTCCTTGTCTTTCTATTGCTGTTTCTCTCACTTTCTCTCACTATCTCTCTTTCTCTCTCTTCACGTCTCTCTTTATCTTACTGATTCTCTCTCTCTCTCTCTCTCTCTCTCTTTCTCTCTCTTTGTTACTCTCTCCCTGACTCTTCCTCTGACTCTTTCTCTTCGATTTTAGGTCCGTTCTTTTCTCATGCACTATTTTTTCCGTTTTAATGTAACATTTATTTTCTCGTTTTCATCGACCAGCCTTTCTTTCTTACTTTCTTTCTTTCTCTCTTTCTTTCTTTCTTTCTTTCTTTCTTTCTTGTTTCTTTCTTCTTTCTTCTTTCTTTCTTTCTTACTTTCTTTCTTTCTCTCTTTCTTTCTTTCTTTCTTTCTTATTTCTTCTTACTTTCTTCTTTCTTTCTTTTGTTTCTTTCTTCTTTCTTCTTTCTTTCTTTCTTTCTTTCTTTCTTTCTTTCTTGTTTCTTATTTCTTATTTCTTCTTTCTTTCTTCTTTCTTTCTTCTTTCTTTTTTCTTTCTTTCTATCTTTCTTTCATATTTCTTCTTTCTTTCTTTCTTTCTTTCTTTCTTTCTTTCTTCCTTCCTATGTTTCTTTCTTATTTCTTTCTTTATTTTTTCTTTCTTTCTTCTTTCTTCTTTCTTTTCTTCTTTCTTTATTATATCTTTCTATCTTTCTTATTTCTTCTTTCTTTCTGTCTTTCTTTCTTTCTTATTTCTTATTTGGAATTTCATTCTTTCTTTCTACTCATAGTCTGTACTTTTCATTTTTCATTATTTTTCAAGACTGCCGACTTCCTTAGTTTCCCTGTTTTCTTCTTTATTTTTCAGACCCATCTTCATTTTTCGTTCTAAATGTTTTTGTTTCTTACGGAGGCGTTTCTTGTTGCATTTCAGCAATACTTGGCTTTTATTTCTTTCTTTCTTTCTTTCTTTTTTCTTTCATTCTTTCTTTCTTTCTTTCTTTCTTTCTTTCTCACCTTCTTTCAACCTTTCTTTCCTTATTTCCTCCATCTCATTCGTCCTTCCCTTCATTCCTTATTTTCTCTATTCTTTTCTATTTTCCTCTCGTCTTTCCCTCGTTCCCCTTTTCTTTCCTTCTGGCATCACTTCTTTCGTTTTTTCATTTTTTCGTTTTTCCTCCCTTTTTTCCTTCTTTACTTCGTTCTTTCTTTCTTTCTTTCTTTCTTTCTTTCTTTCTTTCTTTCCTTCCTGCTTCCTCTCTGGCCTTATTCCCTCCCTTCTTTCCTTCTTTCCTTCCTACGTTCTTCTCTTCTCTTTTTTCCTTTCTTCTTTCTTTCCATCATCCCTTCTTTCCTTCCTTCCTTCCTTCGAAAATTAATTCCTTTCTCCCTTCTTTCCTTCCTTCTTTCGTTCTTGTCTCTCTTCTTTCCTTCCTTCCTACTTTTCTCTCTTCTTTCTTTGCTTCTCTCTTTTCTTCTTTACTCTCTGCCACCCTTTTTTCTTTTTTCCTCTCTTTTTTAACTCCTTCCTCCTTTATTTATTTCATCCCTTCTTTTCTTTCCTTCTTTCCTTCTTTTCTTCTTTCTTTCCTTCTTTCCTTCTTTCTTTCCTTCTTTCCTTACTTTCTATTTCATTTTTTCTCTATTTCTTCTTATTCTTCATTTTTAATCGTTTTTTCTTTATTCTTTCTTCTGTATTTTTTTAATACTTCTTTTCTCTTATGTTCTCCTTCTGTCTTTATTTCATTCTACTTTTCATTCCCACTCCTTATCTCGCCTCCCTCTCTTTAAACGCTTTATTTTCTTCTTCTTTATTTATTCTTTGTTCTCTATCTTTCTTGTTTAGTCTTTGTCTTTCTTCCTTTCTCTCTTCTTTCTAACACTTTTAGCGTATTCATCATTTTTTTAAAAATTTTCCTTCCCTCTCATATCCTTCATTCTCTCACTCAATCACAAACACTCACACACTTTTTCTCTCGAAATATCGACCAGATTTTAAAGAAACCAGACCAAATGTGGTTCGGGGTTGGAGTGAAGAATCTCTCGTACGAGAAGTAAAGAAAATGGCGGGGGGTGTAGGGTACGTGGGGGTGCCGTCCAAAAGATGAGATTAAACGATGTTTTTCCTCCTGTGATTGACTTTTTTTCCCCGTTTCTTATTTTACATTTTCAAAAGTTCGCTTCAATCTGTAGAGACGAACTTAAACTGTCTTTGCAAAATGCCTAAGTTTAGAGGATTAAAATTATTTCGAAAAATTAAAAAAAAAAATATATCGAAAAGAAATATTAAATAGTGGTTAGATGAACGAAAAAAGGAAAGGGAAAAAGAGAACGAGAGAGAGAGAGAGAGAGAGAGAGAGAGAGAGAGAGAAAGAAAGGGAGAGAGTGACGCCCAGGAAGTTAAAAAAAAAAAAAAAAAAGAAAATTTACATTTTGAAAGTAATGGAAAAGTACAAAATTAGAAAAAATTTAAAAAAAAATGTAAATGTTAAAAATGAAAAAGAGAAACTAAAACAATGAACAACGGAAGAAGAAGAAGAAGAAGAAGAAGAAGAAGAAGAAGAAGAAGAAGAAGAAAAGAAGAATTGACTGTGATGATGATGATGATGATGATGATGATGATGATGATGAAGTAGACAAATGAATTAAAAAGACATTTTGGCGGTCCTGATAATTACGATGATTATTAAGAGAAAGCAAAAGCGTTAAAGAATCGTGTCGGAAATTCTGTTAATGATGATCACAAATCCAGTGCCCGTCGTTAAAATCCATTTTCAAAAGAGACGCTTCGAAAATGATCAGTGTCCTGAAGGATTGTCTAAAGAGTGAAGATTTGAGAAATGTGTGTGTGTGTGTGTGTGTGTGTGTGTGTGTGTGTGTGTGTTGGAAAATGTAAAGAGTCAATAAGAAAATGAATTGTGGCGGAGGGGGGGGTGACACAAAGAGGAATGAAAAGAAAAGGTGAAGAGGAGACATTGATAAGGGAAGAAAAAAAAATGAACCAACAAAGCAAGGAAAGAAAACGGTGAAGAGAAAAAGAAACAGTAAAAGAAAAAAAAAATGGAGATGAAAGAGAGAGAAGGATGAAGTTGTTGGATGGAGAAACGAAGAGAAAGAAGAGGAAAGTAGATGAGGGGGGAGTAGAAAAAGATGGAGAATGAAAGAAGTGAGAGAATATCAAAGAATAGAAGTGGGCGATAGTGATGACAGAGCCAAGGAAGAGAAAATGATGATGATGATGATGATGATGATGAAATAGAGAAAATAAAGAAAACAATAATGGGGGGGGGACTAAGAGAGCGCGGCTATGATTATTATTATTATTATTATTATTATTATTATTTTATGATGATGGTGATTATGAAGATTATTTCATGATGATGATGATAGAAAAATGAAAATAAAAAAGAAATAAAAAACGAACAAACAGAAGACCACAATACAACAGTTTCAATAATCACAATTTGATAATAATAATAATAATAATAATAGTAATAGTAATAGTAGTAGTAGTAATAATAATAATAATAATGACGATAACAAAGAAAGACTGAAAGCTAGTGCAAAAGAATAACAGAAATACTTGTAAAATCAGAAAAAGAAAACCAGATATCAAAACAACGTCAGAAATGAAAAAAAAAATAGATATATACTTTAATTCTCTATTCTTTTTCTGTCTTCAAATTTTAAAATGTCGTTTCAAGGAAAAACATACTGACGCTAAAAGGTAAGCAGGGCTTTTTTCTTTTATTTTTTTATTTTTTATTTTTTGGTTTCTAACTAAATTGTTATTGAAGTCCCTGCCCGATTTTGTTCGCCTTTCTTTCTATTTTTTAAAAAATTTGTCTTTTATTTATTCACTTTAAAATTTATGATGTTTGGTTTTAATTTAAATTCATCAAATTCACCTTTTTATTAAAAATTTAATAATATTGTTTTGGCTTTTTTTTGCGTAAGGGTAGGAGAAAAGTGAAAGGGTGAAGGAAAGAAAGAATTAAAAATATACACATTTTAATTTCTTTTTTTTTTTTTTCAATGATGTCGGATTTAAATTTGGAATGACATTAAAACTCTATGAAAGGATCAAGTCCAATATACACACATCCATATAAAAAGAAAAGATTGTGTACAAAAAAAAAAAACAAAGAAGAAGCACTTGAGATTGGAGGAGAGAGGAAGAGTATGAAAAAGAAAGAAAAAGGAGAGAAAACTTATCTAAAATTGAAATTTAAAAAAAAAATATCTCGATTGAAGCTTAAAAATAATTAAAATATGTCTTTCACAAAGAGAAAAAGAGAAAGAAGTCAAAACGCAAAAGAATGCGAACAAATAAAGAAGCCGAAGAGACAAAGTAAAGACAGAAAATCTGTCTTGTAAAAAAGAAAGAGATAAGAAAGTTTGAGAATAAATTAAAATAAAAAAAAAAAACAAACGCCAAAATGAATGAGAGAGGAAACCAAAGGAGAAAATACGCGTAACATATGTGTATAAATACAAACAAAAAGTATACAGAAAGAATCCGAAAAATTAAAAGCGAACGATACAATCTGAAATTTAAAAAAAAAAAATTATAATACACATATATACGGATATATATCCATTGGCGCATGCGCAAAAAAGAAAGCTAGCATGGCAACCATGAGACTTGGGTTCGAATCTCACTATGGTTGATTTTTCAATCAAGGTTACTTTTTGATAATAAGCGTTTAGAGTTGATGCCAGTGAGCGGTACTGTCGGGAAGTACAAGAAAATCATAGCGCACAGTTTGACACGAGCATTGTTAGTGAAACTGTCTAGGCGCAACTGTTCGGAAGCGGCCATTATTTGCGCGAACATAAAGTCACGATTCATCCCAAAAGGATGTTTTAGTTTACGGGCCTTGTTCAACGACTGATCAAGCCCGATTAAGCTCTTCCTGGCAGACGGCACAAATTTGGGGTATTGAAGAAAGGCAAATGTGACTGAGCAGGCGTCTGACACAAGGACTGGCTAGCGGCACGAGCAGAAGGATTTACTTGGAAGCGAGTACACAACCATATATATATATATATATATATATATATATATATATATATATATATATATATATATATATATATATATATAAAAAGAAAGAAAGAAACAGTAAGATATATAATCCGGTGTTCTTATAGATATTTTTATTTTTACAAAATAGTACTCAATGTAAATTTACAGAGCATTAATATTATAAATTAACTGATTTAAACTATGTTTCAAAAATGGAAGCTAAAAGCTTCGAATTTAATTACAAAATTTACAAAATTAAATTCGAAGGTTTTAGCTTCCATTTTTGAAACATGGTTAGAACTGTGTAGCGAAAAAAACATATTTTAACTCAATTAATTTATAATATATATATATATATATGTGTGTGTGTGTGTGTGTGTATAATATTAGAACACCTATCTTTATGTTACCACAGTTTTTTCTAGAAACCGTGGTAGCATAAATATTTAAAACATCGACCTTCGATGCTATCATGCTTTTTTTTCTAGCAAAAAGGTCAATGGTTCAAATATTTTAAATTGCTCCACATTTTTTGTTATTGAAAATTGTATTGCACACACTCTTAATTTAGCGGTTCCTTTTGGAAAATCATCACATTTGTCGTTGATTGAATATTATATATATATATATATATATATATGTGTGTGTGTGTGTGTGTGTGTGTGTGTGTGTGTGTGTTTAGGCAGCAATCCTGCTTTCATTCACATTTCATTGAATACGAAAGACAAGGTGCTTTTATTTAGATTTTTATACAATTTCTCATGTGATCTAATAATTTTTTTTTCACATGATAAATTAAATAAAAACTATCCGAATGTTCTTTTTTATCCGAGCGCTTTCGGCTATACATTTAGCCATTTTCAAGAATTAAATATTTTAACTGTTAAATAAGAAATAGTTTGTTGTATGTATGTTTTATAAAATGTTTTCATTTTACAAAACACGGTCAAGATATTGTGTCCATGTTCATAGTTAATATTATTAAGTGTTGTTTTCTTTTGTTTTTATTAATAAGGCTTCCATTATTTTTAGCCTTTTTTCGTATGTTAAGAATAGTGTCCGGTAGGTCTTCATGAATATTTAAATGAGATCTAATTGAGCTATGGTCAGGAAGATGTAAAGTGAGCCTGCGTGCCAAACATGTTGTAGTGTGGCCTATATAATTATTTACAAATTTTGTTTGATCAGGAATACAATTCTTTAATGGGCATTTAAATTCGTAAATAATATTTGCCCTATTTAATTTTGTTCTAAGAGGTGAATTATTATTTTTAACTATAAGGTTAGAGGTTTCAAATTTTTTGTAATTAATATTTTTGTAATTTGTTTTTTTTTTTGTATATATATATATCTAAAAAAAATAAAACACCTACGAAAAAAAATGACAAAAAATTATGAAAGAGACCCCAAAATTCGAAAAACAAAAGCATTGGAAGGCAATTGGTTTACTACGGCGGGAAAAAATCTGCCTCGTCAGACATATATCGAAAGATACATGATCGAGTAAGCGTGTATTACGCAATGTATATTTTGTGTGCTTTCTTTTGGCATTGTAGATGAAATGAGAAGAATATTAGAGATTTTTTGAAGGTGTTTTCTATATGTATTTCTTTTTTGAGTAAGTATTGGGGGCTGCAGATTCTTAGTGATCTTAAATAAAATCCTATAACTATTCCATTTTTGATGTTGTTACACTGGTAGGAGTAAAAATTAACCAGGTCATTCTGGTTACATTTCTGTGTAACATGATTATCTAGGAAGGGTAGAGTGCCATGCGCGACATGGTACAGAAAGAACTCCTATATTATGTGACTGTTGATCAACTACCAGTCGGGAACATCAACCAGAAAACTACTAACACGGTACCCTCAGAATGAAGAGACGTTGTCACCATCCACACAAAAAATCATGACAGCGCCACGATCAAGTTCTGAGAGAAGGAAAGGAACCAGGACCTCATTCTAAACAGGAAACAACGGATGGATCTCTGTTTCTGTTCAAGAGAAGGGCAAGGTGTATGAACCGGACGATAGGAAAACCTATTTACTCTTCTTCGTCCCAGCTTGGTAAAAACATTGAAATTCATTGTAATTCGTTTAATAAAGGTTTTCTTAATGAATATATAGTTTACTTAAGATTTGTTGATTATCTGAAAAAAAAGACACATTTTTTTTTTAATATTCTCTTCGGAGTTCACTTACTTTTGCCCAGCACTGTACATCCCACGTAATGGTAGGACATTAGTGGCAATAGTGTCTTCAATTAGCTAATGTCTTACCGTTTTGTGAGAATATTTATGGTGGGTATAAATGGAACTTATTTATGGTGGGTATATATGGGACTTATTTATAATGGGTACATATGGAAAGTATTTATGGTTTTTGCATATGGAAAATATTTAAGATCTGTGTGTGTGTGTATATATATATATATATATATATATATATATATATATGGAAAGTATTTGTGATGTGTATATATGGAAAGTATTTATAGTGGGTATATATATATATATATAGAAAATTATTCATGGTGGGTATATATATATATAAGTATTTATGGTGGGTACACATGGAAAGTATTTATGGAGGATATATGTGTGGAAGTATTTGTAGTGGGTATTCATATATATATATATATATATATATATATATATATATATATATGGAAAGCATTTATGGTGGGCATATATGGGAAATATTTATGGCGGGTATATATGGGAAATATTTGTGGTGGGTATATATGGAAAGTATTTATGGTGGATATATATGTGGAAATATTTATAGCGGGTATATATATGGAAAGTGTTTATGGTGTGTATATATGGGAAGAATTTCTTTCGCAAAATGCTTTGCTTTTATTTTCTGTAGCAAGAAATTTCATAGCAAACCTAAAATACGAATTATTTTTAAAGGAGACCTACGCAGCTCGACCCTCACATCCCTTACGCCATTCCTTGCGACAATAATATCTTGTGAGGTATCCTTGATTTTGGTTAGAATCTTATATATATACACGTAATTCATTTAACTTTGGTTGCACACTACAATTTAAGGTAGGTTTTCAATTTGGGCTGAGATTAGTGAGTCGTGCCACCAAAGAAGGGAATTCTAATAAGTTTAATTTTCTAATTAAATTTTCTTTTCGTTATTTTACAAAAGAACAGAAAACAAATTCATCAATTCTCTTGTTGTAGTGCTTCTTGATACACGGATCAATACAGGAATTGTTTCGAGCTTTTCTTCAGTTTAATAAATTGATTAGAATTCACGGACACTACGAAACACAGTGGATACCACACACACACACACACACACACACACACACACACACGCACATTACTATACTATCAAAAGTCGACCCTATATTAAGTATAATCATTTAAACATGTTTTATTGAAAAGTATGGATATTTTATGTTTATTAATTTTAATCATCTTTTTTCCATAAACGCAAATGATGGGTCACAAAACTGGCTGCTACAGATGTAAGAAAATTTTAAAATCAATATAATCGTCATTTATGAACCTTCAGCTCAACTCTGTTCATCACCAGGAGTGCGTTGTTAATGTGTTTATGACTGTTATAAATATATATATGGCACGGTGGAGTAATGGATAGCGGCTTGGATTGAGGAATCGCAGAGCCGAGTTCGAATTCCAGTCGAATCCATTACATTCACTTACGTGCTAATACCCTTGGAATGAATCCTCTTCTTCTCTCTCCAGCTATGGGTAAAATAGCAGGACCGACTTGGTTCTATAGCTTCAACTGGTCTAGGAGAAGGACAACTCTGAATTCAAATCTCTGTATTTGTCCCTTCAAAAGGTGGATGGTCTTAAACGAAACCTTCACCACTATAATCAAATCTCATGTGCTGGTGTCGGGCTGTCATTTTCCTGGAAACTGATCTGCTTGGCCCTCATTCGAGGGGAGAGTCGACTATATATATATAGTGGATTATCTCATCGGGGAGGACAGATAAGGGTTCAGTAATTTAAAGAAGTGCTCAACTTTTATGGACACACATGTGTCCCCCCAAAATCTGCAGGTGTTTTGAAAATTTTTAAACAGATAAATCATGAGGTTGATCGATTTTCCTTGAATGGTTGATGTTCAATTGCCACATGTTTCAGTGAGTGGACAGCAAAGCCTATTTGACTGTGTGCAACAAAGCCACACTGGCAGGTATATATATATATATATATATATATATATATATATGAAGAAATATAGTTTTAAGGTGTTCTATATTTATGTGATAAAGTGATCAATATCAGAAAAGAAAAGTGAACATTGAAGTCAACACTTGAGCATGAGACAACTTGTCGCCTCTGAGTGTTCACTATATATATATATATATATATATATATATATATATATATATATATATATATATATATATATGTGTGTGTGTGTGTGTGTGTGTGTGTGTGTGTGAATATGAAATAGG